CATTAGCTACAGTTTCTTCAGTAGTTGAAATTATAAACTGCATCACAAGCTATAATGCTCAGTGAGAATCGGATGTGCACAAAATGATCTTTATTTTGTTAAAAGGTTAGAACAAAGAAGTAATATTCCTATATATAATTGGGTAAAACTGAAACTATAGAGATTAGTTTATAAATTGCAGTAATAAATTTATGCAGTAATAAATTTACGTGGTGTTTCCACAAACAAAAACAATTAGAGATTAGTTGGTTGCCATGAAAACCATAAACGAACTTCACGTGCGCATAAGTGCACTCACTCATGAGTATTTCCAATTTTATTTCTTTTCGTTGAGATATCAGACCGCCTCAGCCTAAATTAAAGTACAACTAGTAATTTCATATAGCTCGAAATACACGATAAATAGATATCAAGTCTTGCAGCTACGTTTGTAATATATGATGATAATCTCCAATTTCAGCTACAGTAAACGTCATCAACTTGTTGTAGGAAAATTAAGGGTAGGGGTATCTAGTAACCACTCTTGGTTAAAATTAGAAGTTTGTCAAGTATTTTCCGAAGCTGATCTTAATGTAGTAATATTTTTTGTTGTTGCTGATCATGGTTGGAAATAATATGTCAATAACAATTTAGTTTGTCTCACTCGATTGAACTTTCAAAATTATACGGAAAATTCTTTTACATTTTCGATCTTAAATGTTGCTTTAAATGGTTCTCGAAATGCTGGGCGTAGAGCATCCAGGACAATTTCGGGACACTTAAAGCTTTACATATTTTTTATAACTAGCTTCAGTTTATAAAAAGATCATTCTGCGGTTGATACTGTAATAGGAGTGATTGAATATAAGATAAAGAGTTTATACACTTGAGAGATTTCCTTTCATAATTCGTTGACAAAAGATTGAAATGCGGTCACCAGCTTTTTTCAGAAATCAGTTGAATACCTTTGACAATCACGTCTGCAACAGTTTCTACCTAGCTGCATGAGGGACTTTAAATTATACATGTTTTGCGGATGAAGGCAACTGAGTACACTTGTTACTCTTTTCATTAGCAGGGGCGTGGTGGTAGCCCCAAGGCCCCCCCCCCGACCGTCGGGACCCTTATTTCTCACCTTAAGCTTACTCTATGAGCGTTACGCCACTGTTCATCCGATATCGAAAGAACTAGACTGAGTTAACGAAATACGCACCCACTCGAATCGACTTGACTTTATAGCTCAGTTCGTCTGAACCTCGTACACACGCTCTTACTTCTTGTGCAGGACGGACTCTGGTAGGAGATGGTCACGTGGTCTGCTAAAATCTATATTTGATTTTCAGGAATCCAAGATAGTTAATTAAAAATCTGCTAGATTTTAGCAGATTACGTGACCAGCTCCTACCAGGGTCTTTCCCCCACAAGATATAAGAGCGTGGGAAGAGGTTGATTTCGTATAGAGCATTGGACTAGTAAACCAAAAGTCTGGATTCTATTTCCACCACGCTCGATCAAGCAAGCCAGCTTGGCCAGCGCTTTGAATCAATTCAATTTTATTAACACACGGACATGCGTAAATTTTACAAAAACAACCTCCTCAAGTTTATAGTTTTTGAAGTATAAAATTTAGGGTTGTTTAATTCTTGTCACTTCCTGTACTACTATTTTTAGCCTTGCTTAAGTTTTAAGTTCGCTAAAGATCTCGCAGGCGCCAAACCTAAAGTGTCATAAATTTATACTATTATGTGCATCAGCAATTCTGGTAAGTATAAAGAGGCAATATTAACAGGATACTTATTAGTGTAGTGCTTCAACGATATTGAACTTTAACATTTAGTGATCTTATTATCCAATAAATTATAGCATTCATGGTTACTGATACTGGTGATATTACTTTATTTTATATTTATATTTATAGCATGGATTATTCAGTCTCCCGGTTTTGAAACGGTAGAGCTTTTCAATAGAAAAATAGTTAGCTTATATTTAGTTTATTTGTTGTATGACAATAAACGCACATACATACACAAACATTGCATGACTACTGATGTAGCTGGAAACTGTGAAAGTCGTGGGAACACACTTTCGTTGCCATGACAACCATTCAAGAGAAGAGAATGTTTGCGAGAGCTCTACTTAGTAAGAATTGCCAAGTCACCATAATTGCTACTAAGTCTTTAAAAATTTCTAAGTTTCCATTCAGCAGAGACATAAATATAATTATCAGGATTTTAAATCATTTGTCCAAAGATTTATATATTGTGGAAATGCACTGTGGCTTGTGCGTATGTTTCTAAATTATAAACACGATCACAACATTCAGATCAATTTGGTAGACTATAATTTCTATTCAACACCCGTGGTTTCACAAACATTTTCAACTTCCCTTAGCATATCGATATGACAGGAAAAACGCGGTCAAAACAAGCTCATAATCGTTTCACGGTAGCTATATAATCTATACGTCTAAAACAAACTAACGTCACGAAACGATCGATTACCTATTGTTACTTCTGAAGAAAACCTGTAACGAGGCCAATGTTAGGGAAAATAATTCTATCAATTCTAAAATGTTCTTATAGGTGAACGGCATCTTTGGTTTATTTGCTCGCATGTATAGGTAACTTTGCCAACTTTTTCCATGACAAATAGTATGCTAGCTTTTGTACGTGTCATTAAAATATTGGCAAAGACCAAATTTTGTTCGTCTGTACACTTGAGCACTTCCATGCGCGGTTGATTAGCATGTAAAGCTTTAGCCTAATAGCTATCCGCTATCGTGTCGGTACACAGCCATATTGGATATACATCAATCGGGCTTTGCTGTTTGTGGTTGGCCGGCCTTTTGTGTCTGTGTTTGCATCTGTATTGTTTGTGTTAGTTTCTGTGTCTGTAATAAGTTACTTGTAAAAACGTATTTGTATGTAGGCAAAGTTTATTTATCAAAAATAAGTGAAAATAAAATAAACCAAAAACTTGTCGTGGAAAACTTCCTCGTCTATAATGGTCCAGTATTACTACAGAATAAAACCTTAATTGCGAGACCTGTACATGCAAGTGCTGTCAAAACTTTACCCCCTGGTGGTCCAGCTGCTAGGCATATTCGTGAAGTGTTAAACCTAGGCTACATTAACTTCATTTGAGTTTATTTATATTTGATAGCTCCTGTCCTGTGAAGGCAATTCCGCATTCCGTTCCTGTATGGGTTTAACGTTACTATACAGGTGAAAACCAATTTTCCCAGTGATAAAAGAAAACATTGAAAAAAACATTGGTGAAAACCATTTTTTGCAGTGATAACTAATTTTTGCGTTGATAAAGCGAAAATGCTCAGTGATTAACAGGAAATATGTGCAGGGATAAAAAAATTGTTGTGGTCGATTCTTAATTAACAGAACCCCGCGCTATAGCTTGAATTTAAAGGACAAATGGAAATTCTGGCAAATCCAGAAAAATAAAGAAATCTCGGGCAGATTTATCAGAAAATCTGTTAAATTCACTTAATTCAGGTTATTTCATTACAATCCTGCATAAATATTCAATGTAGGGGGCGTACCATTAGTCTCCCGACTGGTCCTATTAGCGGTTCTGGAATGTGCAGTGATAAAAAATATCCGCATTAAATTAGGTTTTGTGCTTGGAAATGGGAGTGCCCTGAGGAATTTAGACATTTTTTTTTTTATTATTATTATTAAAATTTTATTTAAACACGGAATTCAATCACAAAATGTGCTCTTCCATGGAGCCGTGTAGAAAAGATATTTACAAAGTATTTAATGTTTCATATAATAATACTAACCATTATGATTGCCTTAAAGTGTTTTTTAAAGTCGCTACATGCAGATATTGCATTAATTAATTGCTGCAATAGGTAGGCTATTCCACAGGATAGATCCTCTATACCTGTAGGTAAAGCTTTTCTTCAGTGACTCAGTCAAAGATGTTGGGACAAATGATTTGGAATCGGAGTCACGCAAGTTATAGCTATATGTATCGTATATATTAGCTGGAGTAAATTTGTTTGAAAGATAGTTGGGTACCATTTTATTGATCGTTTTATACATTAAAACTTTTAATTGCTGAGAATGTCTTAATTTGCTCTAGATTGTCCCAGTTTAAGGTTGTCACAGACTCACAGTGTTTAAGTTATAGTCAGAAATCTGCATATGGAAATTGAATACCTCTTTGACAAACCACTGTCCATGCAATAGTAAATATCACGGGACAAAGTTTTCATAGCCAAAGAGCTTATTGCCATGACGACCATTTGGATTAACAAAACTGTTTGCATGGGGACATAGACGCGCTTACTAACTATATGGTGAAGTCAGTTAATTCTTTAAATTAAGTCAACTCAGATATATCGGACCGAGATATTGGAATATTCTCTTTTTGCTGCCACTGTAACGCATTCAAGCCATTCATGCAGTGTCATCATTGTTAACTTTTCAAAGAGTGTACTATAACGTGAGTTGTCCTGTCGCTATAAGGGATTTCATTATATATTGTTACTGGGTTTAGAAACATATCAAGCCACCCGAATCTGAAAATTAATTGATGATTCGGCAAAACCGGTTCCGTTCAAAACTTTGAAACAGGAAGGAGGAGAACTAGATAAAAGCAGGAGTACTTGTTGTGCGCTGTCATTATTTATATACATACCGCGATATGCTTTCATGAAAATATTTTATAATTATAAGCAATTATTGGATGAGGCTGAGCATGATATCAAGAATTATTCAGACCGAGGTCAATGTTATCTGCCGAAGCGAAGCTGAGGCGGATAACATAGACCGAGGTCTGAATAATTCTTGATATCATGCGAAAGCCGAATCCAATAATTGTTTTATTATACATTTAAAGACACGAGAAACGTATAAAACGATTCCTGTTCATGAGGTAGGAAAAGTACAATTTGAATATCAAACACCTTGCACAAAGTCAAAGGTCAGCTAAATATTCTATTTCTACTTCTATTTCTAATTCTACTCCTTATCTGCCAATAATTTGGACAGTTCACTTTCATTCAGCGAAGCAAATCTGCTGTAGGCCATTGTTTGTTTTTTTTCCCGCGCTTATAGGTTCAAGCTTTTGGCCGCGCAAGGGTTTGGGCACGAGAGAGTCCAATAATTTTTTTTTTTGGATGCAAGTTCGATCCAAAAAAACAAATATTGGACGCTGATGACGTCATCGGCGGAAAATACGTAATAAATGCCGAATACTGAAAATTAGCCGGTGCTTTCTGACCAATTAGAAACGAGAATACATATTAAATGTATAATAATAGTACTTATCTGAAGCTTCGGTGGCGTAGTTGTGGGTTTTCTCCGGGTGCTCCAGTTTCCTCCCACAGGGAAAGTTGACAGGGTGGGTTTGGATAAAGTCGACAAACACGTGCACAGTCAATTAAGAAAGTAATATCACAATTGTTGTAAAGATAAAATAGACGACGAGCAAGTTTTCTATGACAAGTTTTTATTTGCCGAGTGCACGTGTGTATATGCAACAAATTTTATATGACAAGTTTTCATATGACAAGTTTTATAGTACTGGTGTGAGACAAGTTTTATCAGTTACGTGTCAGAAAACTGAGGTGTTTATCGCCGCCATGACAGAAAAATTATAATAGTCCGCTGGCCAATCACATCAGATGCTCAGATTACTTTGACAAGTTTTCTTTGTTGACCCATACAGACGAACAAGATTCAGTATACTTTGACAATTTTTTCTATGGCAAGTGTACTTGTTCAAAAGCTAGCATGCTAGCTCTAGTTGAACAAGTGCACTTGACATAGAAAAAATTGTCAAAGTTGCGCGTACAGACGAGCAAATAAAACTTGTCACATAAAAACTTGTCATAGCTGAACTTGCTCGTCTGTAACCAGCTTAAGTAATGGCTTAAGTATGTAATTAGGTCGTATAATACTTGATGTACTGAAGCGCATTTGATCATATTCACATGCAGATTTGCGCTATACAGGGTGTATAAAAAAAACTGAACAGATTTGAAATTGCTCTCAATTTCGCAAAACACCTATTTGTATCTGGTTTTTTATATACATAGCTTCTTTCGGTACTTATAATGTAAAATAATGAAAAAAAATTCTCGAACTCAAATTTTGTGAACCGGGGGGAGGTGTCTTTTCCAACAAACTAAAAATGGCTCGCGCACAAAATTTAAAAGCTGTAATCATATTTTGAGTTAATAGATTGAAAATTTATGCTTAATTAATGCCTTTACCTAATTTGCATATTGCTGACATATGCAAATTAGGCAAATGCATTTAAGCATGCAAATAGCTGATTTTTCGGGAAAATTGTAACTTTGCGTGAATAGTTAAGGGGCTTAAACTAAACCAAATTGTCTGAAATTTTGTACAGTAATTAAAATCCCGACAGATTTTCCATCTGTTAACTCAAAATATGATTGCAGCTTTTAAATTTTGTGCGCGAGCCATTTTTAGTTTGTTGGAAAAGACACACCCCCTGGTTCACAAAATTTGAGTTCGAGAAATTTTTCTCATTATTCTACATTATAAGTACCCAAAGAGGCTATATATATAAAAAACCGGATACAAATAGCTGTTTTGCCAAATTGAGAGCAATTTTAAATCTGTTCAGTTTTTTTTTTTGATACACCCTGTAGAAATGCTAATCGTAAGCTATTGTGAATTTTCGTGGTTCTATTACTCTAGTGTTATTGTCTTTTATTGCCATGCATGATGGGACCAATCACATAGCCTGTTTATATAGGTAGGGTGTCCAGTGAACTATATAAATACTGGAATGATAATTTCAGATAAACGCCGACCCTATGATTGGGTGAAGCCAAGATGATGGCCTATAGAGTGATATCTGTTAGGTATAAAACACGCGTGTTCTTCGCGTGGGCTTCACGCGAGACAGAAATGATCGATTTTTCGATCGATGTTCTTCAATTTTTTCACGTAAATGCTCGTTTCAGGGCCGTAGCTAGAACGATATGAATATACACCCCTCCCCCGCCAATTACCGTTCTGGCTACGGCCTGCTCATTACTGGTAAATATGCCCTAGTTAAAACCGGCAAACTAAATGAAAAGGCAAGATTGATGCAACTGCTAGTCCATATTTATTTTGTGTTGGTTCAAATCCTCCATAGATAGTCCAGAAAAACAAATTAAGTTAACAGTGTTTCACCACGGGGGGGGTTTGTGGACTTGTTTTTCACTCGTGAAATAACTTTGCTTTTTATGATGAACTGTTTCTAAAATTAGCTTATTCTGAAAGATCACTTGCTCTATTTTTAGGGCCACGTATGGTAAAGCCAAACAGTAAAAAATAGTTGGCCAAAAATTATGAAATTTCTACATGAAATGATGCCAATTGTTCGTACTGAATTCAGTGAATTTCCGCGTAGGGAGCTGGGGCATACCTACGAGACGGGCTTCAATTTCTACCACCTTTGGCTTCAAAAACAC